TAGATCATAAGAAAGTGAGAATAGGGTAAACAGTTAAGCATGACAATATCTGGAGGCAGTAACAGACACTGGAGCCCTAATAATTCCTTGCAAACACCACAGAGGTGTCTCAGTTCCAAATGATAGCTGTCGAACAGACAAGTAAAGCCCAGTATCCTCAGAGCTTCTGCTTTGTTCTACCCCAAGAGATAAAAATTTGGACTTTCATATGAAATGTCACAATATTTAAACACTGACAAGTGGAAATATAACAGAGCAGTCTTAAGAAAATATATCTCTGGGTCACAGCAGGGCCCAGGAACTCTGTTTGGAAAGTATATAGGCTGTTCATTCAAGTGGAGAGGCAGAACCGAAACCTATTAGAGCAGTTCTACCCTGCCAATGGTGAGGAAGTTCCATCCACATGCTAGCACACATGTGAGGAGAGGACTGGATAGAAAAGCAAACACTCAAGTCAGTCAGTACCCAATAGATTAAAAAATATTTTAGGAATCCAGCCTGGGCATGGCTTACACACATGAGAACCTTTAACTCTTTAGGTAATAAAGCATCAAAAAAGAGACGTTCAGAAATTCAAGAGTTCCAGCCCATTCCTCCAGGCTAGTACTATACAACATATTAAATTCTTGTTAATATACAAATTCCCTTGAATCATGATTCCACAATTCATCAGAATAGGGTCGTTAGTCTTGGACTATTTCCAGTTGTAGAGAGGTCTTTACTTGTAGAATGAATTATTCAAAATCTGTGAACAAACAAGATTCATTTTGAGAAGTCTATCAAAGGCTTCCTTGCTTTTAAACAAAATGTACTCATATACACAGTTAGGTCCCCAGGTCAGCATTTAGAATTCCAGCATACCCCCATCCTACGAACTTACTACTTTATTCATCTCAACTCCTGAATACTCTGTACACCCTCATTGCTGGACACATTATTTTTTTCACCCTCAAAATATTCATTTTTCAAAAATTTTCTGAAAATCCCTCATAAGCATGAATTTCCAAAAAGCACCAAAATACTTTGTTTTCCACACTTTTTGAAGTGCCCTCATGTGCATATACACATATAAAATGAATGTTCAATATAATAAATCATTTGAGCACATTCTATAGGAAGAATTCACTCCATGTGGGTGTACAAAGATACAACCGCGTAATCCAAGTTTAGTCTGTGGATACCTAGCAGTGTAGGTTGTCAGAAAATGTTAAGGTCAAATGAGTTCAGTAACACAAAAAGATTAGTAGTTAGTGCTTAGTGGTTCTCAACCATAGCTGGGCATTAGAATCATTTGGAATGCTTTTAAAAATACCTACACCAGGGCTGGTGCTGTGGTGTAGAGGGTAAAGCCACCCTGCAGTGCTGACATCCCATATGGGCGCCGGGTCGAGTCCCAGCTGTTCCACTTCCGATCCAGCTCTCTACTATGGCCTGGAAAAGCAGAAGATGGCCCCAAGTCCTTGGACCCCTGCACCCATGTGGGAGACGCAGAAGAAGCTCCTGGCTCCTGGCTTTGGATCAGTGCAGCTCCGGCCATTGAGCCATCTGGGGAGTGAACCAGCGGAAGAAAGACCTCTCCATCTCTGCCTCTGCCTTTCAAATGAATAAATAGATCTTTTAAAAAAAATACCTACAGCCACAACCCACTTCAAACCCACTTATGAAAACCTTGCCAAAACAAAAAACCTCAGGCATTTGTATTGTTTAAAATGTTAAATGTTAAAATTGGAGGCAACTAATAGTCAGGGTTGAGTCTCTGTAGGTTATGGTTCAATCACCTAGTCAACTGTGACATGTAATTTTGATGATAAATTTAACTAATTACTCAAAGACCACCACTATAACTACTTAAGAAGACAATCACTTCTCTCCTAACTACATCATGAAATTGGATTTAGAGCTTGGGACACTGACAAAGCACCCGGATCCAGTGATAAGCAATCCCATAATTCTCACCCCTCAGTCAATTCACCTCCCCAGTGGAGTTTATCACATACCAGCAGGAACTTTTAAGTCCCCAGTTTCAGAACACAATTACAACTTTCCCAAAATCCACCCCTAGTTTTTCAACATTTCACCTACTTCTGGCCTTATCTGATGTTGATTCAGCTGGTTCCCAACATTCCACAAATACCAATTATCTTTTATTATACTCAGCAGATAGTGTTTATTTCTCAGAAGCTGCTTAAAAAAAAAAAACTAGGGTGGCCTTCTTGGGCATTACACACCCTCCAAACTTTAGAAACCTCAATTCCCATCCTCAACACTGAAATCTGCCTTTCTCCCATCTAAAATCGTTACAGTCCTGCAAGAAATGGACTTAACTTACATCCATGTTCCCACCAAGTCTGTTTCTTTTCCACACTCTCCATCTGGATTATCTAAGAGACCTTGCCCACTTTTCCACTTGTAATTAGGATGATGACTATTTTTCATACTTAATTGGAAACCCTGAAGTATTCACTTCAGATGTTAGATTTCTCCCAGTAATGTGTAGACCTGTATCATAAAAACATAATCAGAGGAACGAGAAGCTGTCCCAATATCCACGGAAGAAATGAAACTGTCGTCTTTAGGCTCTTCTGTTATTGAAGCAGTTAGTAAATGAAACTGCCTTTTTAAAGCAAGTTGTAACAAATAAGATGGGAAAATTCTAATGCAAAAACATACCGGGCTGTGTAGTTAATTTCATTAATGAGAGTAAGGACCTACAGACACAGCTCCTGGGTTCAAATCCCAAATCCACCACATACTGGTCATGATGCTGTGTCTTTTCTCCCTACTCTGTAAAGTGGAGATAACAGTGCCTACTTGGGGTTAAGAGTACATCACGCAGTACATGCCAAGCTCCCAGCACAGGGTCCGTATGGACTAAGCTTAACAAAGTCAGCAGTGATTGTTACATGGCTGAGTGCAGAACCTGAAGTCTTTCTTCCAAGGAAACAAGGCTTAAGTTTTTTACTCATGACAGGTGAATTTTTTAAATGTTTTTCAAACTGAACTGAGATTTCTAATGTTTTCCAATTATTTAAATTCACCAGATAAAAGCATGGGATTTGTTGCCACTTGGTTACCATTAGGAATACCATTCAATATTAGTTAAGCCGTGTTATGATTATACCATTTAAAATGATACCATGTGAGAGGAGTGTGTGTGTGTGTGTGTGTGTGTGTAGGGGGGGTAGACCATTCACCACTTAAATTGAAATTTTTAAAAGTCAAAAAAGGGAAAGAGCTCAAAAGCTGCAGCTGACCTTTAAATGTCACATCCATTAATACATGTATCAATGTAAACACAGGAAAATATGTCTGGTAACAGGAAGCTGATCAATGCAATCACATTATGGACTCAGTAATACAAATTATGCTTGCAGTCCAGAATATCGATAGCTTTGAAACACCTTTTAAGATCAAATTACAATGCATTAAATTTGCTCTAGCTGATTCTTTGTATGTTTCTCACAAGTTGGTAGCTTACCTATATAACGTGGACAGCTCCCTGTACTAAACTTGTAAACACGTAAAAACCGAGAGCATGAACTCTCTATACTAGTGAGTGAAAATAATCATCTCACTTTCATCATTTAGCCCACCTTCAAGAGTTAGTGATATATTTCAAAAACAATTGGTTACTTGTTTATATCATGTAATACAATTAAAAAGATACAAACAGCACACATCATTATAACTACAGCAAATAAAACCAAGGAGATTTTCATGCAACTTTATAGGCCACTTAAAATTTTCTCCCCCCTCCAGCTCAATTCTATTAGTAAACATCTCATTCGGCCATATATTAACCGACCTTTCACTATACTCCCTTCCAATTCTTGACTGTTCAAAGAAATGTACACATGAACTTCTCCATTTACGTTGTGTGTGTGTGTGTGTGTGTGTGTATGTAATTCTTAGTGGAAGCATAGAAAGTGCATGTGTTTTCTTAAATCCCTAATCTACATACTTGAGACAGAATTAACTTTATACTTTGCATAACCTTTAAGAAGTTAAAAGAATTTACAAATTGCATTTTTCCATCACTAGATCAGCCAACTCACTATTCCTATAGTACCAGGGCATGAGTACAAACGTTAAGAGAAATACTGATTTCTAAAACGAGAGTTTGCGATGCCCTTTTTGCGAAGGATTTGAGGCAATACCAAACGTTCAATTCAGAGGATTCAACAAGTTACCAGGTACTTTTCAATGCCTCCATTGAAGAATGTGTCCCATGAAGAAGTCCCAGAATCCCAGTGTGTTACCTAGACACCTGACATGAGTTCTGGTGCCCAGTGAGATTTTCTTCCGAACATATACTGCACACTTAAAAACAATCACTTGATTTTTATTCGACCCTAACTTCAGGGACAGCGCTCATTCAGTAATCAACCAGGATCCGACAGAGCACACACGCATAATAAATACTCCTATAATGTGTGGCGTGACACTGAAACACTCAAAATGCAGACTGACTGGGGTGAGCAGACAGCATTGTACCACCCGAGTTCCTGCTCAAGTCGCTGGGACAGGACCGCTGGAGACGTGCAAACTCCTACCGTCCCAGAGTCCGTGCGTGCTATTTGCACCCATCAACTTTCTCTCAGTTCCAGGAGCCACAGTGGGCCGGGCCTCAGCGGGACCAAATCACACCTGAGGCGAGCAGCACCTCTGAAGACGTTCCCGCACCAAGTTCTAAGCCCCAGCGTCTCCCAGATCAACGCAGGTTCTCATCAGCTGAGGATCTTAAAGAGCAGATGGGAGCCCGGGGGCGTGGATTAGGGACCGAGATCCGGCGTTCCACTGGGGGCCCCCCGAGGGTTTCCCACGCCTCAGTACCGCCCACCACTCTTCAGCGAGGCCCACACGCGCCCAGAGACAACCAGGTCGCTTCTAGGAGCCTCACAAGGTCGGGACCACGAGCAGCGGCCGGGGGTCGCGCCCCCCGGGTCCTCGGGGCACCTGGGTCTCAGCCGCGCCCCCTGCTCACGCCGCGCGCCTCTCACCTTCTCCCGGGTCTTCAGGTACCGCTGCAGCGCCTGCTGGGTGAGCTCGCCGACGCGCAGCTGGCCCTCCTTGCAGGGCACCACGATGCCCGTCCTGCCGAAGCACACGGTCACTTTCATCCTGAACAGGTGTCTCTGGCCCCGCGGGCGCAGCCCCCCACTCTCGGGGGACGCCCGGAGCCGGCGGGCCTGGAGACCCGGGGCGTCTCTGCCCGGCGCCCCCTCAGGGCCGAGGGCTCGCGGCAGCGCCCCTTCCACGCGCGGGCAGGCGGGAATCGGGGAGGGGGCGGCAGCGCCAAGGGCTACCTCCTAGGTGGCCGGGGCCCCGGGACGCAGCGACTCCGGGGCCGGCTCCTCCTCCTCCTCTGCCGCTGCTGTTCCTGCTCGGGCCCGGCCAGGGCGGTTGCTCTGCGCCCGCCAAAGTGAAACTGCCGGCCCGGCCCGGCCCGGCCCAGCTCTGGCCCTGGCCCTGGCCTTGGCCCTTGCGGCAGTGGCAGGGCCGGTCCTAGGCCCCGGGCTGGAGTGGGCGGCGGCGGCGCGCGGGGCCAGAGTTGGGAGGAAACTTTTGCGCCGGCTCCCAACTCCTCTGCGCTGCGCCGCGCTCTGGCTCCCGCGGCCCCCGGGCCGGCCTGGGCCCGACTCTTAAAGGGGCCGCGGCGCTCCCGGGCTCCACCGCACGCTCGGATTGCGCCCGGCTGGGACCGTGCGATGCGGTAACTGGAGCCCGGAGCCTGTTCCCCTCACTCGGTCTCTCTCTGGCTATGCTCTTTCCACAGGCAGACTCAGAGCTCTGGGGAACTGTAACCGGACCTGCAGGCTGCCCACGGGGAATTGAAACTGGATCTCATAAAACATACTCAGGGACTCGCGAGGAGACGCCCTTAAGGTGGGGGGAATCGGAGCAAGATTCTAAGAAAGCCCGGGAGCAGGTGCTTCTCGCCACGCCCACCAAAAACACCCCCAGGAGAGTAGTTTGCAGGTAATGAGGTGCAGGTATGGCCACAGGGCCTGTTAGGAACTCGTCTTAAGCACAGCATGGCAGCCGCCCTTCGGAGCCCTAAGAGGGCTTAGCCCAAGGAACCTGTGGCAAACCTACCCTTGAAACTCTACCTTCCGCACACCAGGACACTGGGTTTCCCCGCCCAAGTTCTCCTGCCCAGATAGAGTCGCTTGTATTTATGAAGTGACCTTCTGAAATGTCAGTCCCGCTGGTTATTTGACTAGGAAAACAACAACAACTCCTTAAACACCTTTAGGCTGATGATTTAGCAAGTGTGAATCTGTTTCCAAAGTGAAAGAGCCAGGCCAGGAGGGGTGGAATTTAATAAGCAACATTTGTATGCTTCCTCGCCTAAATGAGCTCCATGAACAACAGCTGAACTTCAACCCCGTAAGGTAAATCTTGGCATACAGAACCGTTCTCAGGGACGTGAAGGGACTTACCAGGTCATGGAGTTAGTTCTGTGGAAAGCAACCCAGGTATCCAAAATTGGAGCTCTGATTTCTCGGAAAGCAGTTTGCTTGCCAAACCAGTTCACCCCACAAGATCCTCAGGGCTTGGGCAAAAATTGTGATTCAGGAAGTCCTATCCCTACTTTTGCCTGGCATCCTGTATCAGAGGACTGGTTCAAGTCCAGGCTACTCCATTTATGATCCAGCTGCCTGCTAATGCACCTGGGAAGGCAGAAGAAAATGTCCCAAGTGCTTTGGCTCCTGCTACCCAAGTGGGAGATCGGGATGGAGTTCCTGGCTTCTTCCTCCAACTCTGGGCATTGTGAACATTTGGGAAGTGAACCAGCAATAGAAAATCTCTCTCTCTCTCTCTCTCCCCCCCTCCCTCCCTCCCCCCCTCTTTCCCCTCCCCATAAATAAAGTTTATAAAATCCTCAAGGCTACATCATCTGTTTCCCTACAAAAGGATTTGCTCCTATGTCAAGACACACTGAAATAGAACTTTAATGGCCTAGGATGACATGATGTGTTTTAACTAGTTTTTCTAAATTTTAGTTCATTCACATACTCAGTATATATTGGTTCTTTTCTGTGTCTATAGGGCTTTGTATAAGGTCAATGTCAATAAAGAAAATAATGTATTCCAAATCAATTTCAAGAAAATGTATATTAATCGGTATAATTTAGTTGCATATCTAACACAAACTGACTTAAATAAACCAGACAGAATTGATTTTCTCTTAAAATCAGAAGATCCAAGGAACACTCTACTGAGGCCAGATTGCAAGCAAGACTCACAACCTGTGCTCCAGGGCCATGTCCTCGTACTGGTTCTGTGTGGCTCAGTGCAGCCTGTAATGCCAGGCGAGCTCTCCCCAAAGGAAGTACTTCATCCTCCTTTTAGAAATGGGGAACTGACATCAAAAAAGGTGAAGCAATTTGCTTAAGGTCACATTCTTAGAAAGTAGCAGAGCCTGTTTGAGAACCCAGACAGGAGAAGGACCAAATGAGCAGATCAAACAAGTTCATGTGTGACCCTCGCTTTTCCTTCTGTGTGTTATATGGACATGCAGAAAGAAACAGCAAAGCTCCTCAACTGATGAAAACTTATTCTGCTATTCTTTTTTCTTCATGGCTGTTCCCCCCAACACACATACCTGGCCTTTTCCCTCATAGTTGCTGCAGACTCATCTTCTGCTCAGGTAATGAACAGTTCCTGTTCCTGTTCCTTTTCACAAACTCCTTGGCAGCCCGATTTTCACCCTTCCCCTGGGCCTGGCTTTGAAAATTCCCAGGTGAACATGAAAAACACCCAGGTTCACCTACTGCAGGAGACTGGGAAATAACAGAGGCTGTGCATTTGTGAAATGATGGAAGAGATGAGGCTGGACACTGATGTGAACAATGCATTGTGTATTCCTGCACACCAGGTAGTGAAATTTTATGGCTTCAACTTAGGAATTCTGAAAAGAGGGTAGTGTTTCTGTCATATTTACTAAATAGGCAGGTTAAAGTTGTTATTCACCCTCATCACAGCATGCACAGAAATAATTTATCATATATTAGGAAATGATATAAAGGAACAGAGTTGCAACACACAGTCATTCATGCCCAAAAAATTCCTAAATCAATATTTCATGCCCCACAGGACTTCCTGGGCAGAAGACAATAAATGATTTGCCTTGATTGAGTAACACCAGAGGATTCTAGGCCTAGGTTTTATTTTCTTGTTTTGCCTGCTGGATGGATAAATAATGCCTGTGATGTGATATTTTCCCATTTGTTATCCAACATCTTAGCAAGCTTTGGAATAGACAGTGAAAACATGTATCCACAGAAAACAATGCTTATTGACCAATATTATTAAACTGCCTCCCATGAGGGAAGTACAACTAAAGTGTCAGATACCATTCTTTTAGATGCATACTGAAGAAAAATTGATAATTTTACATCTATAGATGACCAGTCATCCATTCTGATGTTGTACACTGTTAAAACAGCAAATAGAGGCTGGCTAAGCCTACAGCTACAGCACGGGAATCCCACATGGGAGCCAGTTCTTGTCCCAGCTGCTCCTCTTTCTTTTTTTTCAATATTTATTTATTTGAAAGTCAGAGTTACATCTCTCTTCCTTCTGAGAGAGAAGGACACACACACACACACACACACACACAGGTCTTTCATCCACTGGTTCACTCCCCAATTGGTCACAACAGTTGGAGCTACGCCAATCCGAAGCCAGGAATGAGGAGCTTCTTCTGGGTCTCCCACATGGGTGCAGGGGCCCAAAGACTTGGGTCATCTTCTGCTACTTTGCTTGATCAGAAGTGGAGCAGCTGGGTCTCGAACCAGGGTGCATCTGGGATGCCAGCACTGCAGTCAGCAGCTTAACCCACAGCGCCCCGCCCCAGCTGCTCCTGTTTCAATCCAGCTCTTTGCTGATGGCCTGGGAAAGCAGTGGAAGATGGCCTAAGGGCTTGGGCCCCTGCACTCACGTGGGAGACCCAGAAGTAGCTCCTAGCTTTGGATCAGCCCAGCTCTAGCTAATGCATCCATTTGCGGAGTAAGCCAGAAAATGGGAGACTTTTCTGTCTCTCCCCTTTTCTCTGTAACTCAAATAAATAAAGTAACCTTTTAAAAAACTGCAAATAATTTCAATTTTGAGGAATTATAATAAGCGCTATTTATCACAAAAATTAATTGACTTATTTCTTTTTTAAAAATTTTATTTAATTAATATAAATTTCCAAAGTACAGC